CTACAATTACTAACACTACTAACTACAACAACTACAACTACTACTACAACAACAACTACTACTACTACTACTACTACTACTACTACTACTACTACAATTACTAACTACTACTACTTGTGAGTAGGAACACTTGTAGTAAAATATTCAAAACAGCTTTGCAGGTCCAGAGCATGAAGACCCAGACCAAACTACTGACTTATGTGACACAATTTTCAGTATGGTATCTGAACGCCATCCTTAAACTGCTGAGTTTAATTTAATTCAATTACCGATAAGTTTATTTATATAATGACAATTCACAACAAAGTTGTCTCAGGGCACTTTATAGAAACGTTCACATATATAAAAAAGTTCCCTATCTAAGGAAGCCAGCAGACATGTGAATCTTCACTTTGTTGTAGTCTCACATAAGTTTGAGTTCCTATTATTGACCAGCTTTGTTATTACTGCCCCATGGTGGCCACAACACACAGAGGTTTATTCTGTGTGAGTTCTTTATTCTGAATCCACCAGTGCCTTTGCTTCTAAAAGCTCTCAAATGAAACGGTATTTTATTTGTGCAGAACGAGTTGTCTTTCATAGATTTACACTCTTAAAATTATCTCTTACCTGAGCAAATAAAGTCATAATCAAGTCCTCGTTGTGCCTGGAATGGGAGGGCAGTCGACTTGAGACCAGACGGTTGCAGGTTCAACGCTCTGCCATGCCCACATGTCGTGGTGTCCTTGGCTAAAACCTAATCCCTAATTGCTCCCTGGGTGCTTACACAGCTGTCCACTGCTCCACCTGGGTGTATCTCACGTGTGATGGATTAAATGCTTCATGATTGTATAGAAACAATGGCAACACTTCTTATATGATTCTGTATATACAAGTCTGCTAAACAATTCAAGATGTTATATTTTAGTTGACCAGCGGACCAGTTGCTCCTCACAGTTCCAGGATCTCGTCTTAAGCGCAGAGGTGACAGGGCCTTCTCAGTAGCAGGACCAAGACTTTGGAACGAGTTACCTCTGCTTGTCAGACAGGCCCCCTCCCTCTCGGTTTTCAAGTCCCATTTAAAAACTCACTACTATTCAGTAGCTTTCAACACAAGATGATCTGTGTTTTGATCCTGTATGCTCCACACTGGTTTGTCGTCATTATCTGCATCGTTTTTATGTCTATATTCTGATTTATCTCATTTTGTATTTTGCTTTGTGTGTTACCTGTTGTTTTGTCTGTACAGCACTTTGGTTGGCCTTGTCGCTGTTTTAAGTGCTTTATAAATAAAATGGTATGGTATGGACATTACAAAAAGTAGAGTCATAGGAACAAAATAATGATGTTGAGCCTCCTCAGCAGAAACAACACTCAGTCGTGTTTTTCTGTAAGAATCAGTCTATCAGACTGTTGTTGAGGAATTCGGTCCACTCTTCTTTCCAACGTTGCTTCAGTTCATTCAGGTCTGCAGGCATTGGTTTCTGCTCAGTTCTCTGAAGGGCCCACATTTTTATTAGTCTGAGGTTCTGGACTTTGACTGGACTGTTGCAGCACCTCAATTATTTTATTTATTAATTAGCTCTTATTAGCTGCTGTGTTTGGGATCATTGTCCTGTTGCATCATGATCCAGTTTGGTCCAAGCTTCAACTGTTGGGCCAGTGGCCTCCCACTCTAGAATCCTTTGGCCTGCAGAAGACTTCACAGCTCTGAGATGCTGATCAGATGTAATAATTAGCTATCATCAGTGTGATCAGCTCTATAAAAGCAGCAGTTATCAGCTTGCTGCTCTGGAGCATAGTTAAGACAATGTCAAGATGAAAAGACTTAAGCAATGAGCTTAGAAAAACTACTGTTTCTGTCCATCAATCTGGGTAATTTCTAAACTATTTGGATTTTTTTTTACAGAGATAAAATATTTTCACAATTTTTCTCGGCCCTCCATCACCGTGCTGACAGTTGGTATGAAGTGCATGTGCTGATCTGCTCTGGTTGGTTTTTATTCTCTCCAGTCACTGCACTGTGCATTAAGATTACTCATCTTTACTTTGGTCTCATCCTTTCAAAACACATTGTTCCAGAAGTCTTGTGGTCCACTGGCAGATTAGGGGAAGCAGGTTGGCGGGTGTCTTAACTCGGTGAAAAATATTTGATCTTCGTAGAATAAAAACATCCAAATAGTTTTGATGGGCAGCAACAATTGTTTTTTTCTAACCTCATTGTTTAAGCCTTTTCACCTTGACATTGTGTTAACTCACACCTGTATGCTCCAGAGCAGCAAACTGTAAAACAATTGCTGCTTTAGATCTGATCACGCTGATGATGATCAGCTAATTATTTCATCTGATCAACAACTCAGAGCTGCACATAAGCCAACACCACGGTGACATTATGATATGAAGTCAATGTGAGGAAAAAAAAAAGACCAGCCAGTTGAAGCAGATAACTACTTGTCCTGAGTCTGGTTCAGCTAAAGGTTTCTTCCTCATGAGGGAGTTTTTCTTTCCACTGTCGCCTTCATGCTTGCTCAAGATGAGAGTTCTGTGATGGAGTTAAACTCAAAGCAGTCTGCTCCTCAAATAAATAATGTTAAATTATTATTAAATTAAATGAGTAAATACATTGTAGTCTATGGCAATCATTCCTAATAATTAATTATACTGTATAGCATGAGGAACTAAAATACCACCATAGCCTAAGGCCCAGTGCCAGCCCTGGACAATTTGGGACCCTAGGCATGTTTTTGGTGGTGCCCCCTGCATCATTTTCTACATCTCACTGCCAATTTACATTTGTACATACACTCACACAATAGACTACATGGCTTTGTCTCTGATACTGCTGTCCAACTGAAACAAGTAACTACAAAATAACAAGTTAACAACAAAATATCAAAAGCTTACATCATACCTGTCAACATCTACTGATGGCAAAGAGGGACACCTATATAGATTAGTGAGCACCTGGGGCCTCATGTGCAAAGGGTGTGTATGCACAAAAACAGCCCTTTTCATGCAAAACTTTAGACGTATCAAGAAGAAATTTACCATGGACACGTGCGCAGCCCCACACCAACTTCATGGCTGGAGAAGCAAGTTTCTATGGTTACTGGTCCATTGGCGACACTTAGAGGTGACGCTGGGACACTGTTAATGATGTGAAAACTATTGTTGTACACACTGGACACACACTGGACACACACACGATGAACAACTCATACATGTATGAAATTAGATGAGTGGATATTAAAGCATATTATCTTATGTGCAACATGGTGCAGCAAACTTTTTCCGGGAGCATGCCTCCCCAGAATACGTTTTAATAATCTACTCAAAACTTTGCATTCTCCATCCATTTGAAGTGCATTTGACTCAATTCTTAGTATTAATAAAACATAAAATCAGTATATTATGAAGGTGGAACTTTGATTTACAGCTAGACTTTAAGCTGATATTTATCTGAGATCAGACTTTAAACTTGCATTATCTCTGTTTCGTTTTCTTTTAACACACCGGGCACCACGAGTGTCTTCACTGCATCTTATTGTACTTTATACACAATATACTATACCATACAACCTTTACGTAGTAACACAGCAGGCCACCCTGAGAAATATACCAGCTAGGTAACACAGAACAAGTTGTCTTCATAACCAGTGACAATTCTGCTTACCAAAGCAACCACCCAGATAAAATGTTGTAAAATCTTTATAGTACAATGTACATTCAATCCAACACATGCGTAGGTCTTCACTAATATATGCTTTTATGTAATTAGTCATGTTACTAAATAAATTAGTTACATCATAATAACAAAGTTATGAAGTTCTCTTATATTCCTGTGTACACGCCCAGAAAGTGATGTGCACATGAGCATGTACAGTCTAAATAGTGGAAGAGTGAAGTAAAGCAAAGTATTATTGTTAACAGTAGTAGTATTTAATATGCTTTGCTATGAGGCTATACATATATATATTTTTTCATATCATAAAATAATATTACCTGTTAGTTTTAGTAAAAGAAAGTTATACTTGGCATCCTTAGCGTTTGCCCACATGGCCCGGCTCTGGTAAGGATACATGTCTTATACACTCTAGAAGCAGAGCATGGACTCATTGATACTATACTAGCATTAATAAATGTACATGTTTTAATACTGGGAAGATCCTCTTTTAATCACCAGATCAGAGCCCAAATTCCCAGTTTTCCCAAATTTTTTATGCTATTAGTTGTTCCTGTCTGGAAAATGTCAAGTCATTTTCTAGGTTTCCCCTGATGTCCAGAGTCGCTGGGACCCCTGAAAGTCTGAAGAAGTTTTTATTTATAAACTCTGATTCAACACTTTTTTAAGACTGCATAGGAACAAGAACAACAACAAAGAACCGTTTGTGCATTTGCTACAGACGAGAACATTTTATTAAATGTTAACCCACATAAAGTCAGAACCTTACAAAATAATTTCTGCGTTGCCATTAGTGTTTGAGAGTTATGACTTTAAAATGTCAGATACAGAAACGATATTTCCCCCTTTAATGCAGAAATGAACCAAACATGAAATAAATCAAACCAAATAAGACAGTAACTACAGTTTTACATGAAGTCGTAATGGAAAGAGCAGAAAACAGGATCTCATTATTATTAGTTACCAACAATAAAAAAAAAAATCAGAATATGAAGCTATAACAAACACAAAACTGTTGATTTTTCTAGTAATGAAATATAGACTGCAAAAAACATACAATCACAAACAAGCTTGCAAAAGTGGCCCTTCGCTGTAGAAGTGCATAAAGCATGAAGAAAATAACATTCGATATATTAACTTTGATCTTTAGTCATTATCTGTGTCTTTGATATAAATATTAATCTAAAATAAACGTGGCTATTTTTTTGAAGACTGTTCATACAAATCTGGCTGGTTATTAAAGATCGTGTTACTTGTTTCACAGAAGTTCAGTGATGAACAATGTTTTTTTTTTTTTTTTGCAGTCTATAATCTTTGGTGAGAATGTAAACAATTGCACAAAGTCAAAAAGCAAGGCATTAAAATCTGAAGCCAAAGTGAAAACTAAGGAAATAACATACAAATGACTCTTTACTTGAATCACTTATCTACCTGTCAGAAAGTGTGAACCTTTTCTAGTCTTTCAGCTTCAGAAAGCACAAAGTATTTTTAATGAGCAAGACATAATTCAGTACAACCACGCATCTTGAAAAACAAAAACAAAAAAGAAACAATGTGGTACGCTTTGCGGTGTGTAAATTACAATAGTTGCTTTTTTGGATGGCAGCAAAACAGTCAGCGTGCAGAGGTTAAACTAAAGCAAGCTCAAATACACATGATGAATAGTGAGGCATCAGTGTCCCCTGGTCCATAAGGCACATTTGTATGGTACATATTACCAGCTGAACCTAATCCTCCTAAAAAAATCTGCTTGATAATGCACAGGTTTAATTAATAACTCTGCTCTCTATACACGAGGGTCACCCCCTGAATGTAAATAGGACAAACACAACCCTCTTTGTGCATCGCTGGTTCAACTATTCACCCATCTGTCTGTGAATTGTCCAGAAACCTTTTACCACTGCTCCCAGCTGAAGTCGTCCCCACCTCCGAAGACAAAGAAAAAGCCAAGGATGGTGAGGAAGATGACAACATTTCCTGACATCACCAGGCCACAGGCGCCCCACTTGATCTGTAGACAAAAGACATTACATTTTATACTTAGAAAGATATTCACCACAGATGGGTTTCATATACAGATGACACCAGATGTTTACGTACACTGTATATAAATATACAGTTTTAGTTTCTCTCTACTGGCTCTGTCAAGTCCAGAACTGAGTTCAAAAATCTTACTTCTAACCTACAAAGCTCTCAACAACCTAGCTCCATCTTATATTACAGATCTTATTGTTCCATATTCTCCTAAATGGAGCACTTCCCTCTCAGAATGCAGGTTTACTTGTGGTTCCTAGAGTTTCCAAAAGCAGAATGGGAGGAAGATCTTTCAGTTACCAGGCTCCTCTCTTGTGGAACCAACTTCCAGTTTCTGTCCATGAGGCCGACACATTGTCCAGTTTGAAGACTGGGATTAAAACTTTCCTTTTTGATAAATCCTATAGTTAGGGTCAGATTGGTATGCTTGCTATACTCTACCTGTTTGTCATTATTTCTATCTTAACATGTTTTTTTATTTTTATTTGTCTTTCCTCCAGAAGAACGTACATCTGGACCTGCCATTCTATGTTTGTTTCTCCTTCCTGTTCCTCTCAAACCCAGCTGGTCTTAGCAGATGGTCGCTCGTCCTGAGCCTGGTTCTGCTGGAGGTTTCTTCCTGTTAAAGGGATTTTTTCCTTTCCACGGTCTCCTTTGTGCTTGCTCAGGACGGGAGTCTGTGATGAAGTGAAGAATCAACACAATCTGTTGGCTTCTTTACATGGAGAACTTTTACTGGTTGTCTTTTTATACATATGAATGTTTCTGTTCAGTGTCCTGAGCGGACTTCTGTTGTAACTTGGTTCTATCTAAATAAACTGAATTGAATTGAATAAATAATGGTTTTCTCACCAACATTAAATCAGACTAACCTTTTCAGTTCACTAGCCACTTTATTAGCTACACCTTGCTAGTACCAGGTGAGACCCGCTTTTGCCTTCAGCACTGACTTAATTCTTCTCGTTTTAGATTCAACAATGTGTTAGAAATGATCCTCAGAGATTCTGGTCCATATTGACAAGTTGGCATCACACGGCTGCTGCAGGTTTGTCAGCTGAACATCCAGGATGTGTCTCCCCTCACAACTTATAACAAAAGTGTTCAACTGGACTGAAATCTGGTGGTTGTGAAGACTACTGGAGTCCAGTGAATTCAGTCTCATCCGACCTGTTCATGTTCTTCCAATCTCTCATTGTCCAGTTTTAGTGAGTCTGTATGCATCAATTCAGTTCATTTCAGTTTATTTATATAGCGCCAAGTCACAACAGAAGTCATCTCAGGGCACTGAGCAGAAACATCCATATATAAAAATAACAATTTAACATTATTTATCTGAGGAGCAGACTGCTTTGAGTTTAACTCCATCACAGAACTCTCATCTTGAGCGAGCATGAAGGCGACAGTGGAAAGGAAAAACTCCCTCACGAGGAAGAAACCTTTAGCAGAACCAGGATCAGGACAAGCAGCATCAGCTTTTTGTTGTTAGCTAAGAGGAGCAGCACCTGGTGTGGCCTTCTGGTACCGTAGCCCATCTGCTCCAAGGTTGGACATGTGTCCAGAGATGGTTCCTGCAGATCTTTGTTTATAGTGAGTAGTTACTTTAGCTACTCTGTCTTCTGACCACCGATTCTCACTAAACCCCTCTGACAAGAGTTACCTTTTCTGCCTCTCTGTGAAAAACACATGCCTGTATTCTGACCACAATCTCAGACCCCAGACTCAAGAAGGAGTTGTGAGTTCCCAGAAACAAACTCCACAAGCCAAATAGGAGTGTTTGTTGGACCTTCCAAGTTACACTCTCGTATCACGTGATCTGGCTGTACCCTCGTCCCTCCAAACCTTCCCTCTGACGTCACCGCAGCTTCTGCATCTCCACCCATGATCAAACTCTGCAGTTTCAGCTGACTTTCTCCCTCAGGAGTTCACCTCCTGACACGTTGTCAATAATCTTCTCGTTCAATCCTGTAGGCGATTGAATTTCTGGGTCCCCCTCGTAATTGGTATGGTATAAAGTTTATTAATTTAAAAAAAGTACAAAACAATTCCATAACAATATAAAAAAGATGCAAGAGATTTAAAATGAAAGGCAGCAGAAAGAAGAAAACATCTTATTGTATCTGCCCCTTTTTTCAAACAATTATTTCAATCATATTAATTTTCAAGTAACAGAACAAAATGAATAACTTTCTAATTTTTCTAATTCTAATACAAAAAACACACTAAGCTACTTCATATATATTGTATATGTATATACATGTAATTCATTACAGCAGCCCAACATTTTGATTAACGTTAGCTGATGTACGTAATCTTTGATTTTCTTGACATATTTTGTGGCGTTGTTTTAATTATTATCTCAGTTTTAATTTAGTCTTTTAAAAGTGTTTCATTTACTTTTAAATTTTATTCTTATGTCTTACTGTTTGAGACTGTCACACCTCCTAAGTTTTGTCAGCATTAGTGGAACAGTGGGGGGAGTAGTGGTGCAGAGGTTAGAGAAAGTGGGCATGTGATCAGAAGGTTGCCGGTTCAACTCCCCGGACCAACAACGTCAAACATGTGGGTGGGAAAAGCGGGAAAGCATCAACACCTGTCTCCACCCTCATTTGCCCCACTCTGGGCCCTTGAGCAAGGCACTTAACTCCATTATCTGCTCCCCCTGGGCGCTCTAGATGGCAGCTCTCTGCTCCACACAGAGGGCTGTGGTAGCTCAATGGTCTGTGGTTGTGTCAGGATGGACATCTGATGTTAAAACGATTGCCAAGTCTTCGTGCAAATTAGTTTGTTGTGGCGACCCCTGAAGAAGGGAGCAGCCGAAAGAAGAAAAACCTTTAGCTACTGTTGCCTTTCTGTTATCTCCAACAAAACCCATTCTCCTTTGAACTCTGTGGCTTTATTTTTTCCACACAAAAGCCGCTCACTGGATAGTTCCTCTTTTTTGAACCATCCTCTTTAAACCTTTAAGATGGTTGTGTGTAAAAATCCCAGTAGATCAGCCATTTCAGAATGACTCCGACCAGATCGTCTGGCTCCAACAACCACGCCACATATAAAGTCACTTCAACAAGCACTGAACAAGTGTACCTAATGAAGTGGCCGGTGATCATAGGTCAGTTAGATTCCCAAAATATTTTTTTTTGCCAAATGCCTGAATACTGAGAGAGAACTTTTTAGATTATTTTATGACTTTCTTCAAAGTCACAAGTTTACATACACTTAGTACATCTTTAAACAGTTTGGGAAAGCCCAAATGATGATGTCATGACTTTGTAAGCTTGTGATTGGTTAATTAACAACATTTAAGTTAACTGGAGGCACACCTGTGGCTACATTTTAAGGTACACCTCAAACATGGTGCTTCTTTGTGTGGCATCATCGAAAAATCAAAATAAATCTGACAAAATATCAGGAACAGAATAGTCAACCTCCACATTTCTCATTTTTACATCATCCAGTGTCAACATGACTCAACTGACTCCGTTATACAGTCGCAGTAGGTTTCTATAAAATTGAGTGTTGCCTCAATGGTGGTAAGTTTTTGTCATCAGCACTTGCCTACAACAAGTAAATGAGATATAAAGTCGCAAAATACGCATCGTCCTCTGCCACAGTTTCTAAAAATTCTGTGGTCTAGTTCAAGCCACCTTTTCTCCGCTGGTCTGAGCCTGTAGTCCATTTGGTCTAGTTCTGTTTGAATTATTTTGTCAGCCAAAATAACAACTATATAAAGTTTTGTAAAGAGAAAATAAAATAAAGATGTGGTTGTGAGGTTTTAAAGATAGTTTGAACATCATGATCATGAATGACGCTACTCTCTGGACAATCAATGTCCTGCAGTCTGCTGACAGAGTCTTCACTCAACATGGAACTTCAGACGAGTAGGCCTGTCGCAATAAACAATAAATCAATTAATCATAATAAGTGAAAATAATTGATCTCATTTTAATTTATCAGCTTTATCGTTTGTTTGTGTCTCTCTCTTTCTACTGAAGACACTGGATGACAAAAGGCTCAACTCTGGTTCCCTTCACTGACTCCTCCCTTTCTATTTAAAATCTGTTTTAACTGTCCAAAATCGAGTTTTTGGATCGTTAAAAGCAGCTAAGCTCAGAAGCTAAGCTAACAGGCTGACCTCGGGGAACAAACCTCCGTCTTGTTAAAGCTCCAAAATTCACAGTTGAAACCTGTGCCTTTGTCTAAAAAGTAGTTTTTCTCTGCAAAAAGAAGCTGAGAACTTGTTTACTGATTTTTGTTAAAAGATTTGTGTGAAAAATGCTATGCTAAAGAGCTCAAACCACACCAAGCGTCCGCCATTTTGAGAACCGAAGACAGACAACCCATGTCACGTCAAGGGGCCTCCCTGCCATTATTCTTAGGAGACGCTGCTCGCTCCCTCACTATTCATCCTTCAGTTCAAACAGTCTTATACTGCCATCCGGTGGTCAACAAAAGGTACTACACACAAAACAAATTAAACATTTCTTATTAAACAATATTATCATTTATAACAATAATTTCTGAAACAATTAATCGCCCAGCAAAATTTGTCATCGTGACAGGCCTACAGATGAGTCGGTCCTACGAACCAAGCACAAAGCGGGTGGTACCATCCAATGGAAAGACAGGTCCACCCCAGTAAGCCCATGTAAAAAGGTCAAAAGTGGCTTAAAGTTGTGGGCAGAGTTCAAAATGTGTGAGCAAAGCAACAAAGAAGAAAGATTTGAAGCTCAAGACATTGACCTCTCTAAGTGGCTTTAAAAATCTGTTGGACTCCTGACAAGGACCAATGCAGACATGTTCCTGTTTTTAGTTTTCTACTTTGCCTTATAATCTAGCTGTATTTGCTACTTTATTGCCATCTTATTTTAATTTGTACAAAAAAAAAGTCTGTATGCCTCTTTTACAATTGTCTATTGTTGTCGCTGATGTCCATTGTTGTCATCATTCTTTGTTGAAACCAGGTCTCTCTTGTAAATGAGTCCTCATGGCTCAATGAGATTAACCTGTCTAAATAAAGGTTGAATGAAAAAAACATACAATCCAGACTGTTTCACCAGTTCTGTCTGGAGGAATGGGACATAATTCCAGAAAACTATTGTGAGAAACTTGTGGAAGTCAACCCAAACTATTTGAGCCAAGTCATAGTTTAAAGGCAATGCCACCAAATACTAAAGAAAACTTGTAGAAAGTTGTAACTTTGAAAAAAGTTAAATTAAAAACTCATTAAAAAATAATTTTCTTTATTATTTATGCATTTAACGAATGAAAATAACATTGGTAATCCTAAATGACCTCAAGCAGAAAAGGTTTAGTCTGATTTAATGTCAGGCAGTGAGTCACTTTTCGGTATTTGCCTTGTGCTTTCATGTCACAATGAAATACATGGCTAAAGATAATAAGGTCACAAAGTATCCTATTTTTCTAAAACCAACATTTGTAGCTTGAGCTCCAGCAATGCCAAGTGGCCACAGATTTCTTGGTAATGCCCCAAAATTTTGCATGCATGCAGACTTTTAAACATCAAATATATATATAACATATATACGTCTTAACTAGGGCATTAACATACACAAATCGATTGCTAGGACATCTATCGAGGTTAAAAATTTAGCATCGAGTATCCGTAGAGACGTCATATTATGTGACCACCGTATGACCGTAGGGGGCGGTGTTGCACTGTTGCAGGTCACAGAGTATGGTGTAACACCGGGTCCAATCCACCGAACCAGTTTCGGTTTAAGTTTCGTTTTTGATGTGCTGCACGTTTCTTCACGTTTGCAGTTTAATAATAATAACTAATAGTTTTGTTTTTCCTGTGACTTATTTGCAGTATGATAAATGGTAGGAGCATAATATACACTCCCAATGTTTTGCTGGTCTTTTTTTTTTGTAAATAATTACTTTTTTTTTTGCGGTTTTATTTATTTATTTATTTTTGTATCTTGAGATCTATGACGTTATCAAATGCTCAAGTTCTACTCGGGTTTTATTATGTTAATGTCGAGTTTAAAAATTATATACTCGTTCAACCCCTAGTCTTAACAACTACTGTTGCATTCACCACTTGCTCTTGCCGAGATCGGATGCTTCTCCCCTCCCTCTCCGCTTTGCTGCTCTGTCTGTGAAACTGCTTCTGAACCTCTCTTACATTTCTTCTGAACCATAATTATGGACTTTTTGATCAGTTGGTCCCTCAACTCAATTTACAACATTTCTTCAGAGAAGACAGGCTTTAGGCGAGCTAATTTGCCCTGTTGGCACGCACGCAGCTGGATATCTCATCGACTTGGAAGACTTGATGATGTGTCTATCTCTGTTGCCATTTGTAGATTTTAAGGACGCATATTTAATTGGATTTTCGATAACTGGTTCTTGCTTTTTGGATTCGGCTGGTTGCTGGTTTTATCAATCGATCAAGGAAGTTGTCGGCAGTAAATTTGGACCCGATCACGCTGCTTGCCTTTATGATGGCTTGGTTCGTGTCTCGAGTACCCGGACTCAAATGCTTTGGGCAGAATGGATCAGATCTTGGGGATTTTACTCAGGTATGTTCCATTGGTGTGGCCATGTATTTTGGACATTTCAGAACTGAGTGGACCAACACAGACTCAAGGTAGATGTCATTAAGTTCTGCCTGTCCCCAAAACAACTGTGTGTTTATCTGAATTTGGTTCCCTTGTCTGGCCTTGAAGGCCATCTTATCTGAATTCGCCTGGAGAACATGTAATCTGACGCTCACCACCCCCTCCCTGAGGAATTTCCAACTGATAACCCGATGAAACCAGCTGAATAAACTTTGTGCCATCATTTCAGGACTCTTGGATTCTCATAGACGTTATTCTTGGCCATTCCTCGACATACCTCGAGAATGTTTATGGATTTCACCTGAGGACATTGACTGATTACAGTGACCTCAAGAGCATCTATAAGCGTTGTTGACCGCTCTCGGCTCCCCCGTCTGCAGAACGTCTATGTCACTATGTGCTTGTTTGTGCGAGGTGTTTTTTTTAATATTAGAGGTTTTTATTTCTCAGGCAGGAAAAAAAAAAAGTCTGATAGGAATTTTTTCGCCTCCAATTCCTACATGTGTCTATTTTACCACTTTTTTGTCTGTCCAAACAGGTCTCACTTGAAAATGAGTCTTTTAGGCTCAGTGTGACTAATCTGTTTAAATAAAGGTTGAATGAATGAATGAACTATCATGCAACAACATTATACAATAGCATGCTACCCTATGATAACATTCTGAAAAACTGTGGCAAGTTGCTGGTGAACTGTCTGCTCACATGTAAGAACAAAATGCTACCGTGACCAAAAAGACCATTAGTCTATGATATAACTGCAAAGGATTCTGTAGACGAAAATAAAATGTATTTCTATGCTGACCATGTGAAAACCAACTTTAAATACTACAAGGTAAAGAGAACTTACGGTGCTAGTTCGAGCTAAGATGATAGGAAGCCCAAAAGACGACACCACAATGCCAGTGGTTAAGAAGTAGGCCAGCTCTCTGCACGCGTTGCTCGAGGAATCGTCATCACTGAGGCGTCTGGATATGAAGGTTGGGATGGGGCTCAAAACGTAGAAAATCAGAACAAACAGCGGCCAGTATACGCTAAGAAAAAAACGTACAAATACAGTGAGAAGGGGTTGGGTCATTTCTAAATATAAAATCTAGCCATGCTCAAGATAACAGATAGAAGTATCAAAAAATAAAAATAGTGTAAGAACTGTTCTGTTAGAGGATTACCAGTTCTAATAATAAAAGAATATCCTTCTCAACTTGAAGACCAGTTCAAATGTCTATTTACCTCTGAACATTTTTTTTTCATGTACACCTCCTATAAATCTACAGTCCCACTAGAAACATCACCTGTAGAGGTCCTGAAAGTTGAATAGCTTCTGTTATTTATACCTCTTTAATAACCAACTACAGGCCAAAGCTGTGGATTCTCAAATTAAACCAGTTCTTTCATGATCATAATTCAAGGTTCACGGTGACTTTCATTCGCATCACATGGTACATGAGGTGGAACCAAATTGTGGTCCCAGTTACATCCCAAAACAATGATGTTAAACATACTTTTTATATTAATACACACATATAAGAACATAAACCTACACTTACCCATAGTCTTCCAGCGCACAGCCCAGCAGGAGGAATGTCAGTCCAATAGCTCCACTAAATGACAAACCAACCAGAGCTAAAAAAAATATTAATATATAAAAATATATTAGTTACTCACATGTAAGGCAGGGTTGTTACTGTGCAACTAAAAACTAAAGTATATGTACGACAACCTGATACAAAGATGAGATCAAAACCTGTAAACACGTTAATAAAACCACCGTGAAAGCACGTCTTGGTTATAATTCGATTTGCGTGCCTGGATATGATTTAGCAAATGTTTCCAATTAATTTAAAGAAGGCTAACAAACGACAAAACGTCACATTGAACTTCCAGTCCATTAATGTCAAAATGTGTTACCTTTAATGCCAGCCATTGCAAGAAGAAAACTTGTGAAAGTTTGTTTTTTGTCTTTAGCGTCTTTCTTGACTCTTTGTTTACTTGCTGAGGCTTCTTCCGAGTCGAACTTCCTGCTTCCTCCTTCGGGTTTTCCTTCGGTTCCGTCAGATGATTTCTTAAAGCGACAGCACCGACCGATGGGAACCAGCAGCTTTATTCTCCGGCTGAAAAAGTGGCGCACCACGTGGGCGGGGTTAACAGTCCGTTTGAAGCAAAAAGTGATCGCGGGTATTTCGCGTGTCTCTACTGTACAGTTATGCTTACAGTCATCGCTTATTAATATTTAAACATATATTCTTCTGACAGGTCGTCCACTATTTTAGGGGACTTTTCCCATATCAGGGCATGGCAAACACTTAAACCTTGAACTTTTCCCAATCCGGTCGTTCTGGCCGGAAATTTTTCCGGCTGACAAAAACGGAATACGGTTATTGGTTTTTTTTTTTTTTTTTTTTTTTTTTTTTTTTTTTTTTTTTTTTTTTATTAAAGATTTTAATCACACATTACAAACATCTGTTTGCCAGGGGTATAGATATTAATGTAAAAGAGATAATATTCTAGTACAAAACATAAAAAACCATGAAATTATATTTACAATTTATACAGAGTTTAAATTCACATTAAGCTTTTCCAGAGTTGAGATGGTTTTCATTGCCTTTTGGTTTTCCAGTCCATTAATTGAGGTGATGTATTGAAGAAGTTCTTTGCTGAAATGGGTTATGTTTGGTTTGGAGTTGGACCATTTTTTCTTGTGAATGTGAAACTTTCCCAGGAGAAGTAGAAGTTGGGTGAAGTACAACAAGTCTTTATTCGTGCCTTTGTCTTCAAAGCATAGTATAATGTCTTTCTCTGTAAGCTGAATTATTTGTCCAGTTTTTTGCTGTATGAATTGTTGCACATCTCTCCAGAATGAGATTGTATGAACACATTGATAGAATAAATGAGAAATCGTTTCTATGTGTAGTTCACAGAATGTACAAGAATAGTCAATGTCAAGTTTAAATCTTTCCAGTGTTTTTTTAACAGGATATACATTATGAATAATTTTATATGAAACCTCTTTAACTTTGTTTGTTATGCAAAATTTTTCCCAATTTAACCACATCTGCTTCCAGTTAACTCCTTCAAATATGGAAGACCAGAAAAATCTACCAGGAGGCAGAGTGATCTTCTGCAGACAAGTTCTTATGAGTTTGTTGGAGCATGTTTTTTTTGTTACATCGATTCCATCCAGCATTACGGGGCTTCTAAGTTGGTCTCTAGGCAAATTGTTCACTTTTGTTCCTTTGAAGAGCTGCCTCATAGATTTTGGTAGAGCATCAAAAACTACAGCATACTCTTTAGGTGTTACAGGAATTTTAAGTCTAGTCAGAAATTCAGTGTATGTCATAAAGGTTCCATTATCATTTAATAGTTGTTGTACAAGCATAATTCCATTTTCCATCCAATTTTTGTAGTAAAGCGACTTGTTCTTATATAAAATATTCCCATTGTTCCAAATGCAATATGTAGTTGGGGAGAAGTTGTGTTTGTAGGCAAGTTTCCAAGACAGGAGAGCTTGTTGGTGAAATCTCGATAACTTAATAGGTAATTTTTCAATTTTATAATCACATTTTAATAAAAATTGGATTCCTCCTATCTGATTAAAAATATGGTTGGGGAAAGTGTTCCAAAGCGTATCTTTCCCTTTTAATAAGTTAGTTAACCATTTAATTTTAAAGGAATTATTTAGCATTTCAAAACTTAGGACATCTAGACCTCCAAATGTTTTATTATTACAGAGAATATCTTTTTTTAAGTAATGGCATTTATGTTTCCATATAAAGTCAAATAATGTTTTATCTAATTTTTTGCATACATCTTTTGGCATCTCTAATGATAAGGAAGTATATACAGATCTAGATATTCCCTCAGCTTTTGACAGTAGTACCCTACCATTTAATGACAGGTCCCTCATTAGCCACATGTTAAATTTTGTTGTTATTTGTTGTATAATAGGGCCAAAGTTTGAGCTGCTACGCAAATTTTGATTCTTTTCAATATTCACTCCTAAGTATGTAAATTGCTCTTTGACAGGAATATCATTAATTTCAGAAAGTGTGCAGTCTTTTAGTGGGAACAGAACAGATTTATTAAGATTCATTTTTAGACCTGATACGGAAGAGAATTCCTGGATACAGTCAACTGCATTCCTCACTTCATTTACATTAGCGATAAATAACGCAGTATCATCAGCCAGCTGTGATAATGTGAAGTGTCTATCTAGAGTTAAGATGCCTTGGAATTGACCTTTTTTTACATGTATAGACATAATTTGTGTAACCAGAAGAAATAAGAATGGGCTTAGAGGGCATCCTTGCCTGATACCTCGATTGATATTAAACCTTCTCGTTGTCCCATGTGCCAGCTTGACCGAGCTGTTACAGCCCTGGTACAGGGTATTAATAGCTTTGGAAAAAAAATCTCCAAATCCAAAATGTTTAATAGACTTGAACATAAATTTATGACTTATGGTATCAAACGCTTTGTAGAAGTCGATAAACAGAATAAAGCTTTCATCAGGAATAAAATCATTGTAGTCAATCATGTCCAATATTAGACGAATATTGTTGCTAATGTTTCTTCCAGGCATAAATCCAGATTGTTCTTCACTAATAATATCATTTAAACCTAATTTCAGTCGCTTGGCAAAGATAACTGCGTATATTTTAGCGTCATTGTTTAAAAGACTAATTGGTCTCCAGTTTTCAATACTCAAATGATCTTTTTTGGGTTTAGGGATGAGCTTAATCAATCCCTGCTGGAGAGTTGGGGCTAATTCACCTCTCAGTATTGACTCTTCAAACATATTTTTTAAAAAAGGGGCCAGTTCTCCTGCAAACTGTTTATAGAATTCACTACTTATGCCATCGTTGCCAGGGGATTTATTATCCTTAAGAGAGCATATAGAGTCCTGAACTTCCTTTAGATTAATTTCTTTATCACAATCTCTTTTAAAGTCATCATCAATCTTGATGGTATCCATTTCATGTTCTCTTAGAAATGCGTCCATTCTTCCTTCATCTTCTAAATTTTCTGAGTATAAGTTTTGATAAAAGTTTGAAACATAGTTTGAAATAACTTGCTCATTATCACAAATCATATTGTTAATTTTAAGCTTTCCAATAAATGATTGTTCAAAGTTTCTCTTCTCCAGGTTGAAAAAATATTTGGAGCACTTTTCTCCTTGTTCTAACCATTTTTTTCTGGACCTCACAAAAGCTCCTCTGGCTTTGTCCTCATAGAGCTGATCCAGTTCTAGTTGTAGTGTTGAAAGTTCTTTGGAGTCCTCTTCAGATACATCTGTTTTTTTTGATATTCTTAAAATTGCATCTATTATTTGGGATTCTTTTTCTTTTTTCTTTTGGGCAAGTTTTTTGCCTATTCTAATTGCCATTTTTCTAATTTCAAATTTAAATAGTTCCCAGTTTTTACAAAAGTATTTTGTTAAATTTGCTTGAGTCCAATATTTATTAATAAGTTTAATTACTTCAGTTTTAAATTCTTCATTTTTTAATAAGGAGTTATTTAATTTCCAGTAGTCTTTATTGTGACCATGTCTGTCAGTGTTTGCATCTATTTTAATTGTGATAGCTTTGTGATCTGTCAGTATTGTTGGTTCAATAGAGGCATCGGTCACGTTGTCTTCTAAATCTGAGGAAATAAGCCAAAAATCTATGCGTGACTGTTGAGTTCTGTCTTTGTTGTTCCATGTGTAGGAAGTTTTATCCAAATTTTTAGATCTCCAAATATCAATAAGTCCTAATCTATCACAGATATGATGTAATTCAGTTGTTGTTTGATTCTTTGAGGGCAATCTGTCCAGATTATCATTCATCACATTGTTAAAATCTCCTCCCCATATAATTTTAGCAGTAGGAAATGAGAGTAATGTTTGTTCAATTTTGGCTTCTAAGGTCAAAAATAACTGCTTGTTGTCTTGTTTGTTATTGTAACCATATATGTTGATGATTAAAAAAAGTGACTGATTAGTTTCAGTTAAAAGCGTAATCCAACGGCCTTCAGTATCTGTTTCAAATTTTAAAATTTTCCCTTTAAATTTTCCTTGCAGGATAGCAACACCTGCTGATTTATTACTACCAAAAGAAAACCATATTTGTCGACCCCACTGACTCCTCCAAAACGTTACATCATCTTCTGAAGCATGGGTCTCCTGTAACAAATAAAAATCAGCACTTTTGTTAAGGCAGTATAGAAATAAAGCTTTCCTTTTAAGTTGGTTCCTAATACCCCTGGCATTTACAGAAAAAACAGAAATAGACATAAACAAACACAAACAAACAATAACACCCTGAACAACAGCAGACCTGTAACTCAGCTGTTTAAGCTAACAAGTATCTGCTTATTAATTGCATTATCTGCACTAAGATAGAATGATTGTCACCTTCTCCATCTCAGGTTAGAGTGGAGGTCTTAACTCACCAAAGGTAGTATTGAAATATATTTTTCCCTTCTCATATCTTAATTTCTTTCCCTTCAATATAAGCTCGAGTTCCAACAAAATATGCTTTGCGACCCGCTTTCCTGGCTTCCTCCACCGCGGGCCACAGCTTGCCTCGGATTTCTTTTTCTGCAGCGGTCAGATCTTCTTTAAAGCTTAGCTTTTTGTTTTGGAGGTAGCTGCTGTTCTTGGATCCTTTCCATAGCACGTCTCTGGCCGTCCTGGTCTGGAATCTGATGAACACCGGTCGTGGAAGAGGTTTGGTTGTCCCATCTCGTTGTCGAAGACCGCCGATGCGATGTACGACGTCCATTGCTGAAAGCACTGACCCCACTTCACTATCTGGTAGAATTGCTTGACATATTTCTTGGACAGTTTTTTTAGTGTTGTTGTCTTTATTGTCTTCAGGAACACCATACAGTCTGAGGTTAAGCTGTCGGCTGTGTCGATCTGCGTTATTGAGTTTGAGTTCCAGGTCGGAAACTTTCTGATCCAGGACTTTACATTTCTCCTGCAGCGTGTTATTTTGTTTCTTCAGATCTGCTATTTCTTGGAAGCAGAATTCCAATGACTTTTTTAATTCCTCAATTTGGGTACTGTTATGCTGGACTGCCTTGTCCGTCTGATCTGCCCTCTCATTAATCTTCTCAATTATGGTGTTCTGTAGCTCCGATAGCGTCGGCTCCACGTGTTGCGTTGGCAGCTCACCTTTAGCTTTCTTCACCTTCTGCTTAGCTGGCGGGTCGGGTGTCAGGCTGCAAGCGTAAGAGTGGAGTTCTCTAGCAGTTCTTTTTTCTTTTGGTGTCTCAGACTCCATAACTTCGAGCTGAGCCAAGGTAGTATTCTTCGACTTAGCCATTGTACACGTTAGCTTTTGTGCTACGTAACTTTCAGCTAAGCTAGTCTGTCGGGAGTAGGATAACTCTTTTTTGTTGCTTATTTGAAGAGCGAGAGTTTAAATCTTCAGCTGGGGAGATTACTCACGGTCTTCTTTGTTGTCCCCGTGATTGTTGGTGACAATTAACGTCTTTCTTGAATTAGTTGTGCAGATAGATGCGGCTCTCACATTAATGCATATCCGTTCTCGTCGCCATCTCGTCTCCAGGAGTCCTGACAAAACATCAACACCGAATACGGTTATTGTTGAAACAACTGTATTATTGTCGATCACGTTCAGCGAGGAGGAAAGTCACAGAAAAAAATCGAAGAGAAAGAAAAGTGTTTTGAAAAACAAAAACATGCTTGTTTATAACAACACATATACACACACAGATATATATATTAATGTATTTATACTGTCAGTTTATTTTATTAAAAATATATTTATAGTTGTTATGCAGCTGTTAACAATATTAAGTATATTTGTTTAGAGGCCCAGATGTGGAAACTTGAACTTGGAAGAAGAATGCTCATACTTTAATAGGAGACCACAATTATGTGACACAGACATCAGATGGGCATGGAAAAAATTTGAGCCTTCATATTTATCAGCCAGGAACTGATCACTAAGGCGTCGGCGGTCGCTGCTTATGAAAATGTGCAGCATCAGAGGTCAGTCCCAGGTCAACTTGCTTTTTCTGACCACAAAACTGGACCGTACCAAGCCTTTACCCACTCCAAGATGAGCCCAGTGTATCCCTAAGGAGGCCAACCCACATTAACAAGACATGTTATCAGATCATTCCTTAAACAGCTGCAGCCAGCCTGGAAGGAGTGGAGCTGTAAATTTTGGAAGACGTCAGTTTCAGCCAATGAATGAAGACATTGAAGATAACAAGTTGAACAGGAAGAAATGTAGTGACTGAAGGGAAGTGAATCAATATGTCTTTGTGTGTGAAGAAGGTGTACCTTTATCTTTAGTCCATAATCAGGGAAAGGAGGTGTGTGCAATGTTATCCTTTATGCATAATCATAAGATGTGATGTAATTTGAGTTGGTCCTCTTTGTTTAAGATATGAAGGAGTTTGCATGTTTTATTGTGCATGTATACAGGTCCTTCTCAAAAAATTAGCATATTGTGATAAAGGTCATTATTTTCCATAATGTAA